TGGGGGGGAAGGGGGACATCTGTAATACTTTCAACAATAAATTTAAAAAAAGATGGTGCTCCAAGTGTTGTCTTGCTTTGTTTGTTGCCATTCTAACTCTTTTGCCTTTGTAAGTTATTTGATCTTTCTGCCTGGAGATCTTGGGGATTTTTGTTGGGGGGGAAAAAAAAATCTTTGAAATCTAATAGTTTTAGGAGGATACGTCTCCAAATTGATTGTTCTGGGTTAATTTTCCAAGGTTCCCAGTGGCCCTTTGAGTGTGCAGACTGTCCTTCCCTGGGAAGTTTTCTTAGAATGCAGTAATAAATATTGGTGCTGGTTTATCGTTCAGTGCTTCTTCAGGGACCCTGTAATACAAACGTGGTTCCTTCTTTGACTATCTGCTGTTTCCATTACTTCCTTGTGACCCCTTGAGATGCACTGTCTCGCTTTCTTTCTCTCAATCGTTTTTGGGTCTTCCTTCAATGCCCCTTATTACATTTTAAGGCTATTCTCCCTTGAGGGTCCTGTGATGTAATCTTTATTTCTAGATACTTTCTTCTTAAGTCTATGTGCTGCTGAAGTGAGCACCTTTTGTGTTTATCTTGTTCACTTCTTCCTGGGTTTTGTCTATTTCTGTTCTTTTAAAATTTCTCATTTAATACCTGGGTTGCAGGTTCGATCCCCAGCCCCACTCAGGGCACGTGCAGGAGGCAACTAATCGATGCGTCTCACATCGATGTTTCTCTCCCTCCCTCCTTCCCACTCTCTCTAAATAAATAAATTTCTCATCCAAGGCAGTTTTGCTATCTTTACATACTTGTTTGGAGTCTATTTCATTGTGTTATATTACAGCTTTCTTCTGCTTCCAGGCTGCTTTTCCAGGGGGATGTGTGTGAATCACCCGTTGATATGTGGTGAGATTCATTTTCTGACATCTTGTAATAATTCTGTACGAACCTGTTGCTGTTTATCTTGTTCATTTCTATGGTGTTGGATGTTTTATAAAATCCATTTAGTGTGCCCACTTCTGTCAACACTGCGGAGTCCAGATCCTTCAACAGATTTGCTTGCAGAGTGGGGGAGGAGTTGTAGGTCCTCCGATTTTGCTTTGTCTTGCAGAACCATGAGATTTCTCCACTTACTTCCCCTTTCACACCCAGACTTCTTCTTTTTTGTGTTTTTCACTCCCCCAGAAATTACGTGTTTCAAAGGCTGCTCCTTCAAGTGGTACATATACTTAAAACACCCCTTCCCTGTAGTCCCAGCCCTAGGCCCCCAGGCACTTTTTAACATTTTCAGACTTACGGTGGACTTAGTCTTTCTGGGGCTAGTTTAGGTCAAGACAAGGCCCTCTTGCCTTGTTTGCAGATTGTTTTCATGTTACCTGCAGCGTGTCCAGCAGCTGCCCTGGGACTTAGGTTTCTGTCCCTCGCCTGATTTCAGGTGTCGGAGGACACCCAGCTCCTGTAGTAGGAGGGGCTGGTCGGGGGAGAGGGTCAATTTTTGCACAGTAAGGCCCAAAGGAGCAGGTGGTTTGTGTGGTGTCTTACCTGCCCTGAACCTAGTCCTGGGGCCTTTGAAAAGTTGAATGTTTCTGTGACTTTGTTCAGTGGCTCCACTCTGAGGCTGGCAGAGCTGTCTACACTCGACAGGGCCTCCTTGACTTCCTGGAAGAGTTGCTTGGGAGCTGTGTGAATATTGTGTTGGAAGTTCTTTGATATTCAAGCATTTCCACCTTGGCAAATTTTCCAGGTACCATAGCTGTAAACTGAATTATTTAAATCCTCACATGAGGATATGGTGTTTTTTTAAAATCCTCATCAAAGGATATTTTCCCATTGATCTTTAGAGAGAATTGGAGGGAGGAATGGGGGGGAGAGAGAAACATTGATGTGAGAGAGACACATTGACTGGTCGCCTCCTGCACATGCCTGGACTGGGGCTAGGGATTGAATCTGCAACCGAGGTATGTGCCCTTTACTCGGAATCGAACTCAAGGCCCTTAGGTCTGCCGGCCAATGCTCCAACCACTGAGCCAAACTGGCCAGGGCCATGTTTTTGTTTTTGATTTTAGAGGAAGAGAGAAATGTTGCTGTGAAAAACACCAATTGGTTGCCTCTTGTTTGTGCCCTGACCAGGGCTTGAACCCCCAACCTTTTGGTGTACAGGATGATGCTCTAACCAACTGAGCCACGTGGCCGGGGCTGAATTACTCTTGAAGACAGAGGACAGCTGTGACTCTTGGGCTCATGGATACACAGCTGGCTGCAGGCTTCCTTCCTCCCCACTCAGGTTTTGTCTCTTCCGTCATCTCTTGCAAGAGGAGGGACTGTGAGTGGAGTGGGAGAACAGGTGGAAGTCTGGCCAGTGAAGCCAGAATTGGATGGTGGGGAGCTCAATGACCTAGGAGAGTGCCTGCTGTGGGACATGGGCTGGGGTGTGAGTACTGTGTTGGCACATGGGTGACCCTGGAGTCTTACCTTCCCATCTTCTGTGTCACCACCATGGCCCAAGACCTAAACTGCAGCTGTACACATTGTCACACCCTGGGCACTTTCTGGACTGCATGGCTGTTGTGTAATGCACTTGCATCCAGCTGTGGCCCCAGCCACTGGCACTGCAGGAGGTTCAGTGCCCAGACAGCCTGACCATGGACGCATGGATGGGTAGGGATGGGTGAAAGGATGGCTGGTGAGTCCTCACATGGACCAATTGTCTTAATCTGGGGCAAAGGATTAATACCATCTTTGAAGTAAAAAAGAAAACACAAGTACATTTTCCAGACTCCTCTGCTACTAGAGGTCTGAGAAATGGATTCCATTCATTAGCTCTCTGAACTGGATGACAGAGGGCATGAGGTCACAGCCACCTGCCAGCTGTGGAAGCTCCAGTCTTTCTGCAGCACTGTCAGCTCTCTGGCTTTGCGGGGGGTCAAGAGGTTGTGACAGCAGCCCCACCCCATGTTCCAGGGTCTGGGCCCAGCTTCCTGGGTGCTGAGAGCTGAACTGCAGGCGGGAAAGTATTCCGGAACTGAACAGTCCCAGCGGAGGCCTCCTGCAGGATCATCCTCTAGCCTCCCTGGAGATTCTGTAAGTAGCTGATTCTTAGACCCCCTTCTGCTGGAAGCAGCTGGAGAAGTGTTTCCTGATTTGCAATGGTGTGATCAGATCGCACAGCATGTTGTTGCTGGAGCTTGAGCTTGGGACAGACTACCTGACCTGACCTGTGACAGCCCCACTTGTCCCAGGCCCTTTCCTTCCCTAGCCTGCCCACCAGGAGAGGTAAGGCTGGTCCACAGGAACCTGTGACCTGGGAGCCCAGGAAGCATGGGTGACAGGAGAGGCCCTGCACCCAGGACAGTGAGGCCCAAGCCTCTGTGTCCCTGTGTCCTGTGCAGAGCTTTCCTCTGACGGTGTGGTAACAGAAACCTGCTGCGGGATGACAAAACTCAATTACCATCAACAATCAAAATAACTACAAAACTCACCAAAACGTGATTACCAACCAGCTGGGCGACCATTGGAAAATCACTTGACTCCTCTGGCCCACAGGTTTCCTTGTCTGTGGGGCCCTGACAAGCTGTGGCAAGGATAAAGTGAGGCAATGTACGTGGAAAACACTAGCTTGGCGCCCAGCAGCAGAGCTGGCCTCAATACGTGGAAATCCTGAGCATCTTACATATTTGGAATTAGAACTAGGGGGGCATGCCCGGCCGGCATGGCTCAGCAGTTGAGCATCCACCTATGATCCAGATGGAGGTTGTTTGGTGAGGGCACGTGCCCAGGGTGTGGGCTCGATCTCCAGCAGGGGGCGTGCAGGAGGCAGCCGATCAATGACTCTCATCACTGATGTTTCTCTCTCCCTCTTTCTGAAATCAATAAAGATATATTTAAAAAAACAAAAAACTAGGGGGGCTGGTTCTTACCTGGGAAGATTCCTAGGTCTATTGAGGAGTTTCCTAGATGGGGTGAGGAAAAGCCAGCTTCATTTTAGCCCAGACCACGGGGCCCCCTCTCAGCACCAAAACTGGACTAGTAGGCCCTTCCTAGAGCTCCAACCCCCAGCCTGGGGGACTCTCGCTCCCCAGGGAAGAGGCCACTGAAGCCTCCTCAGTTTCTAGCCTAAGCTCCTGGGGTCAGGGACCCTGCAAACCTCAGGAGTTGGAAAATGCTGGCTCACAGGTCAGGAGGCCCAGGCCTGGCTCCAGGCTCACTGCTGCATTGCTGGGTGGCTTTGGGCAAGACCAGACCCTCCAGGAAGCAGAGATGAGGATGGTGATTCTCTTGGCTCCTGGGCAGGGATCTGGAGAATCCCAGCCTATTTGGGCAGGAAGTTTGGAACACCACAGTCTGGGGGTCCTACTCTGGAAGCTTTCTGGGAGCCTCTGACCCTCATCCCAGGGGCTCTGCTCCTGATTAGGGCCCAGAAGAAAACAAACCACGAGGGTCATTGGTGAACGTGTTTTTAAATAAAGGAGCCACAAGACTGAGTCCTTTTCTTTAGCCGCCTCTCTTAGACAAGACCCTACAAGGGCCACAGTCCTGTTCCCAGCTGGCCCTGGGCTCAGACAGCAGTTGACAGCCCGCGGAGGTAGTCCCCCACCAGGGGCAGCACAGTCCAGTCATCGGTCCGCAGGACCACAGGCACTCCATCCGCCTGGGCTGCCTCCAGCCGCAGCAGCAGCTTTGAGTCTGGGGGCAGGCAGATGGCTATGTGATAGCTAGTGGGGGGCTGGGCCACCATCACAAAGGGCTCTAGATGGCGGGACACCAAGGCCTTCAGACCTTGTGGCCCAAGAGGGCACCACAGGCGACTCTCAGTGCCCTTTGGAAGGCAGGAGTCCCAGAGCTCCTCAAAGAAGCCCAGCCGGGCCCCTTCAGGGGGCTTCGGGAAAGGCAGGAAGAGGTCAGCGAATTTCACAGGCAGGGGTGGCAGGTGGGCATAGCATGTGAGACCAGTGGGTTTGGTGTAAAGAGCCTGGATATCCAGCTGTGTGGGGGCTGGGCGCCGGGGCTGCAGGGGCAAGAGCAGAGGGTGGGCGGGGCGGCCGGGGCATAGGCAGGGCACGTGGACAGCCCCTAGAGGTGCACAGAGTTGTCCTTCCGCTCGGAAGCGCAGCTCCAGAGAGTACACTGGCTCCAGCACCTCCACCTGGAGCTGCAGCACTGGGACTGGGCCCTCGCCCCTTTCGGGCCCCACGCTCAGCCGAACCGGGGCCGGGGCCTCCTGCACCATCAGTGCTGTGGCAAAGCCCTGGTTCTCCGCCACCAGTGAAGAGGCCAATGCAGGCACAGCAAGCGAGGGGCCCAGGGCCACCCCCAGCTTAGGCTCCGACAGATGGCCCAAGAGGATGTAGTAGAGGCGGGCACGGTCCCGTCCATCAGGGTCCTCCAGCTGCCTGGCCAATGTCTGCAGCAAGTCTGCCAGGCCTCCCCCAACGCCTGTCCGCAGCAGGGCCCGGCAGACCTGAAGCAAGGCCTGCTGGAGGCCCCAGTCTGTGCAGTGGGCAGCTGCAGCCTGCAGGAAGCTGAGGGTAGCACTCTGGGCATCCCTGTCTGCCACCTTTGCCAGCATCTGCAGGTGCCAACGAAGGGCCTCATCCCTACCTGGCCTGGACACCACCTCTTGTTGCAACGCCACCCTCAGGGGCTCCCCAAGCTCAGGGCCCACCTGATCCAGAAGGTCAACAAAATGGGGGGCCAGAGCAGGCCGGGCTCGGTAGAGCTGGGCCAATCCGTGGGTCAAGGGTGTCAGCACTGTAGGTTGCCCGGCCAGGCAGTGAGCAACCAGGTATGAGGCCTGGAAGCAGAGAGTAGTCAAGGCCCGGGGGCCCCCACTAAGGGCCGCCCTCTGCCGCAGTCCGGCCAGAAGCTCCCCCAAGTAGCACCGGGGGCTCTGGCCCTGGCCCTTCTCCTCTTCTTTGTCGTCAGCACAGAGCAGGCACAGCAGATGCAGGCGGGCCAGCAGGGCCATGGGGTCGTGAAGGAGACTGGGCAGGAGGCCACGGCACAGCTGGGGCTCTAGCAGCAGCGGGGCGGCCTCCTCGCCTGCGGGCCCCAGTGGGCAGTTCTCCGGGAAGCTCAGGAGGCAGTGCAGGTAGAAGAGATGGGCGGGCAGGGGCAGGGCTGGGTGCTGCGCGGCCACGGTGAGCCGGCGGAGCAGCAAGGCCTCATCCTGGGCTGTGAACAGCGCCTCGCCGAAGGCTGCCTTCAGAGCCAGGACAGCGTGCAGCAATGTCAGCTGTGCTGTGCCCAGCAGCCGGACCAACTGTGGTTTGAAGAGCACTGGTGGCTGTCCCCGCAGACCTCGCAGGGCCCAGCCCAGCAGCCACAGAACCTGAGCCTGGGCCACAGGCGTGAGCAGGTACGAAGTGTCCAGAAGCTGGGCCACTGCAGCCCGCAGCTCCCGGGCCTCCTCAGGACTAGGCTCTAGAGCTGAAAGGCCACATTCCTCCTCTGCTGCTGGCCAACTAGGCGCTTGGGGCTGAAGGTGGGCATCGCCCTCTTGGGCTAGTGTCCAGTTCCAGGGGCCACCCCCAGTGGGAGAGGTCCTGACTGTGAGCAGGCCCTGCAGGCTGGCCTTGGCCCTAGCTTGTATCACCAAGGTGTTGCGCAGGGCAAGTGTCAGCAGCAGGCTGACTGGCTGGACAGGGGCCACCAGGCCCTCCTGCCCCAGCAGGCCCCGCAGTAGCCCCAGGCAGCCCGCCAGCAGCCCAGGCTTGCAGCTCTCCAGCTCCCGCAGGCACTCGAACGCGGTGGCCTGCAGGGGTCGCTGCTCTGAGGAAGGGACAAAGCCTCGCCCCAGATCGCCACCAGAAGCCAAGCCAAGCAGCAGGGGCAGGAGCCGGAGGGAGGCTCCGGAGGTGGGGCCGAGCACACCTCCTGCCACCAGGGCTGTGGTTGCTGCCAGCAACAGGGGCTGCCGCAGAGCTGACGGCCGAGGGGGTAGAAGGACCAGGGTGTCCAAAAAGGAGGTGGCAGCTGCCTCAGCTCCAGGGGCATCCGGCCACAGCTGGGCTGGGTACTCCAAGCTCAGGGCCAGCAAGGAAACCTGGAGATGGGGGATTTGGAGAAGACGGAGTTCAGGGAGCAGTGGGTTGAGGTGACATGAGCCGGGGCGGGGGCGTTCAAGGCCTACCTTGGTCTGTTCGTTCAGCTTCTCACTCCTCAGGTCGCTCAGCAGTTCCCGACCCAGCTCCTCACCCTCGGGAGCTGCCATGAAGGCGGCCGGGCTGGCCCGGAAGGCGCCCAGGCGCTGGGCCCAGGTTTCCCGGCTCTGCAGCCCCATGGTCGGGCACGCGGGTCACTGAAGGGAGGAGCGAGGGAGAATCAGGCCAACCCCGAGGGAGCCATCGTCACCCCGGGCCTGTGCGGCTTTCAGCCACCCTCGGCTACGCGCAAACGCCAGCGGGGACCCGTGCCTGGGTCCCGCGATGAAACCGAGAAGTTTCGGGGGTGACGCCGGGGCGGGCCGCCAGGAGCCCCGCGGGGCAGA